ATATTATGTTTATATGTTACGAATATGTTTATTAGGAATGGAAAAAGCAACAAAGTCTAAGCGGTAGAAGTTACATAGATCGAACCCGCATCATCGACGTGCAAAGTCAGAAGCGCTAGCCACTGAGCTATGCACACCCCATAAACTCTTGTTGATAATTCATTTCCTTATTCAACCTACTACTATCAAGCGAGGCATAGCATAAATTAAACTCTAACAGAAAATCAAAATGTTTAATACCAGATGTTTTTTTTTTTCGCGGGCATGGGGTCGAAAATGCCTATAGCATCATCAAAGCTGTCGTCATAACAATGGTATGTCCGGAGACTAAAACACTCCACCCGAATTGGAACCGTCGCCCACCCTGGGACCACTAATCGCATTGCTTCAGGGTGGCGTTCCATATTTCTCATTAACTAAAGTTCCCTCGGTGCACCTGCATCCAGGTCCCGCTTCTTGACTCTAAGTAAGTATTCTGCATAATTAGCTATGTTCTTCCAGTTAGTTTCGCTATGTAGCATGGCTTGGATGACGTTATCTAGATTAATTGGTCCTACAAGGTGTGCTCGGCATCGTCTTCTTCTGCGTCGCTGTATATGCATGACGGCCCTTCGGTTTTTCCCATTCTATACAGGTATTTGCGAAAGTAACCATGCCCAGACAGCATTTGTGTGACGTAATAGTTTATTTCGCCATGTTCTTTTTGGGTCCACAGTTTTAGGTCTTTTATTAGCCTAGCCGTCCATCTGCCGCGGCTTTCGTTTTGAAACCTATCTTGCCATAGTCTTAGTGTCTCGTCTCTTACTCTTTCCCTTTCGTTGGCACTTGGATTCGTTTGCGCCTTAAACTCCCACATTTTCTTGCGTTCGGCTGCTAGCAGGTCAACGGGAACCGTTCCGCTTATAACTAGTATTGCCTCGCCGGGCACTGTACGGTACGCAGAGGCTACTCTTAAAGCTGCTGTGCGATGAGCTCTAGAAAGTGTCTTGCAACGGTTTTTTTTCTGTAGGGTGTCAGCCCAGATCTCCGCTCCGTATAGCAAAATATTCAAGGTTGTGGACATTAGAAGTTTTCTTTTACTTTGGGTCAGTCCACCAATATTGGCCATTAATCTGCTTAGGTAAGCCGTTACCTTTGCTGCTTTTGCGGCTGCATGCTGCATTTGTGCCCAATACGTTAGCCTGGGGTCTAGCCTTACGCCTAAGTACTTTATTACTCTTTGCGTCTTTAATGTAATGCCGGTCAGTTTCATGCTCACTTCTAAGGGAATACGCTTCTTGGTTAGGAGTATTACCTCGGTTTTCTCTGCTGCAAGTTTAAATATGTGTAATCTGGCATCTCGAGGTTTAATATTCCGTCGTAGCTGACGTTCCATAGGTCTGGCCCAAGAATGGAGCCTTGTGCTGCGCCCGACGTGAATACCAGATGTTAGACAAGGTCATTCGCTAAGATTCAAAATTTATGCATAATAGAAATTTAATCCGTTGGTAACGCAAAGAAATATTGAGGAGCTTCAAATGATACGACTTCTTTCACATGCTTTAACATGTAGACACTTCGTAGTTTTATATTAACTGCAACTGATAAGTAGTTTTTTCGAGCTAAACTGCACCAAATGTTCTTAAACATCATTCCAATGTAACATATCGCACACCGTCTTCGTGTGTAGAATAACTCCAATAACCAAAATCACAAATTGCATAGCGGCCAGCTGTGGTGAGTGGCTAGCAGTGCCAGCAATGTCAAACATCCAGGTGTATTCTTCCATAAAAACAGCTTCTAAAAAAATACAGTCGCCATTTGGGTCCGAGTAAACCTGCAGGTCCCTCCCATTTGTGTGCCAGCATCAAGGCGCCTGCCACAAATCGGAAGGAGAAGCTCGGCCAAACACTGACAAATTATGTAAACACCAATCTATTATTATTATAAAATACTCTACAAACTTATTTGGAAGTAAAACTTAAATCTAGAAAAAAAGAATAATAAAACTTATACCTACTCCTGATGTATTCAATTAACGCAATACACCTGCCTGTGTATTCGATTTCGATTTAATTGAAATCAGTTAAAAAAAAAACATAGACGAATTAAATTCCATAAAATTGTCTGAAGTTATCTGCCACATACTAAAAATCCATTCATTCAAATTCAATCTAAATTGAAATACTCGTAGATAGAAAAATATATCGTGGCTGATAAATAATATCCTACATGGCCTATTGTATGCACGCAATGCTCTACTTAATGGCCAGACATTTATTTTAACCAATGACAGAACTTTGCGAGGTGAAAGCATAAAAAACAGACAATCACAAAATGGCAAAATACCAAAAACTGGCAGCATGAATATAAAGTGGCTGCATCAGTAGAATACTGAGTAAATCTAGCAAAGCACATCAGTTGTTACATTCTTTTGGCACCTACCCCCTTGCGGCGGGTGGCCGGGTGTTGACCTATACGTTGCTGCTATTCGCCGTACTACTTACTATTGGAGCCATTGACTAGCTGCAATCAATATTACACACATATCCCTTGCCAATGTACCAGTACATATGTATGTGTATTGGGCACTATATTTGTATGTGGGCGACCGCATGTGTGTCAGTGATTTTGGATAGTAGCTGCCATCGGTAGTCAATGTTTGCCGCTAAGTGATGTTTTCTTTTTTGGTAGCATTTGTCATTACGTAGAAGTCAAATTGGCGCAATTGCTTCTTTTATTCCTGTATTTGCTCATCCACAAAAAAAAACACTTGTTCCAATGTGGTTCGGGCGCATTCCGTGATTTTATATACAACTTTATAAACTATTTTAATTTTCTTGTTTGGGTTGAGTTGCAACCGCACCATTACTTCCATCATTTATTGCACTGATTAAGTGGCCTCCAGTCTAGTAGCCAGACTACTTACTTGGTTTTATAGCGCACTATTCTTTTCCTAAAATGTGCTGAAGCCACCATAAATATATATACATATAAGTACATACATATTAGGGGTGTTAATTTTTCAGCTTTTACCGATCCCGGGAGAAGCTCTCCTACGATAAAATAAAGAAATAAATGGGTTTGAAATATACTTTTTTATTTAAAGTAGCGTTTTTACATTTTCTCTCTGACATCAGGATTTATTTTAAAGGCTTTTGTAATTTCAGAGATATGATTAATTCCAAAATTTATTTAAAGAGTTTAAGGCAATGTAGAATAAAAATATGGGTATCAAATGTAGAATTAAAAAAAAAATAATATTTTTTTGGATTCAAAAGGACAAATAGGTAAATTTTTGAGCTGATAAAGTTATAAGGATGAAATTCGAGGGTTTTATCGAGTTTATATAAGTCCTTAACATATATTTTTTTCAAAAATAAATATCTCGAAATTTCAAGGCTAATATTTTAAATGGACATTTTCAATACTTACCATTCCTTATGCACCAAAAACTTAAATCTGTTTAAATACTACAGGATTTCTTCTTTGATTTGATACCCAAACTTCTATGCACATTTCTTCAGGAATTTTGTAAATCATTTTTGTGTGTTTAAAATTTACTATCGCGCGGTGTTATATGTATAATGAGCTAGACATTTTAAAAAAAATGTTTATTATTAAATAAAAAAAGAAAAGGAGTTTCTATTATTGCCATCACTGCAAATTACAAATCCTGAAAATCCCGGAATTATTTGCCATGAATTCCAGGATTTTTGGTACCTTAAATAGGCCGGGATCCCGGGATTAATATTCTTATACATATCTAGGTTTAAAATGTTTTACGTTATACCATTGCGTATAAGCAACATTAATTTCTGTGCTTCTACTATGCTTACGGTGACCATCCGTCCTGTAGTAACCGTTCCGTTTTCGGCGGGACTGTCCCGGTGCAATTCCCGCCGAAACGCAAAATGTCCCGATTTTTGTCAAAAAAAAGAAAATCATAAAATTTAGAACTCTATAAATGTTTACATTTTGCATTTCCTATTTACTAATCGACACTACACGCCGTATAGTAAAAGCAAAATTTGTAATTGGGTCCCGGTTAAAATGAGTGAAGCACAATGTATGTTCATATCTTTAGTTTTTTTTTGGAAGAAACTACCTGCAAATAAATTCGAAATGATCAACACGATTTTTTACTAGCTTCTAACCGGCACATTGTTATACTAAAATACCAACGTGTAGGCAAATTTATTGAATTTTCCTGTGTTTGCACGAAGTTATGAGATTTTTTTATGCCGAAACTTTTAGGTAAAAAATGTTGCACACATTGTGAAAAACTCTCTGTGCAAAAAATTTAGTGCGACACTGTACATACAGGCATATATAGAAATTTATAATTTTGTGTGATTTTTAATTCAAGATTTCTAAATGTTTTAAGTAATTTAGAAATACTATCATTGAAGCTTCGTTTTATGAAAATTTTTATATTTGAAAGTTTACTTTTTTTGTCTTCTTATTTATGGCCTTATAATAATTCTGTATTTCTATTAATGCCCCATATTCGATAACTTATTTTTATGTCTGGACGCTTGTGATTCGAATCGAGAAGCACATATGTAGATTATTTCTAAAGTTATAATTTTGCCTAGGAAAACTGGGTATTAGATCGTTAATATAAAAATAATTTTATACATACACTTGTGATCAGCTGATTAAGTCATCAACATTTTGATCAATTTTGGCTGTTTCTCTTTCGTTTATTTAATATTTATTATTTTTCCATAAAAGCCAAGCTCATTAACAAACAAAGTATAAATCCACAAAAATTGTGCAAAAATTATAAAAACTTTTTATTCAGATTTTTTAGATTTTTTTTTTGAGTATGCAGTTTGATAGCCCATTAAATTTCAGGGAAATAATGTGCAAGTATAAAGGGGCGTTGATTTTTAATATTTGTTCCTTGTAGACATTTCGGTAGTCGAAAAAGCTAAATTACTTTCTGCTAGGAAGGAGCATAACAATATTTCAGTCTTTTTTGCGTTCATCACATTTTCAATGTAGTCTTAAAAAAGTCGCCTACTTTTTTCTGACGTTTTATGCTGCACAGCTATTTTGATGCTTTTGCGAGCGTGCGTGTTGCAATAGATCGGCTCTTCCTGATTCGGCTTTTAATGTGCAATTGCAAATATTACAGCAAGCCTCGTAAAATCAAGTATTTACACAACCAGCCTTTGAACACGGGATCCTAGGCCAAGAATCCAAAACCAAATCTTTTGAAGCAGCGGCAGCAAAACACAAAGATTGTAAAGATTTATTAAGAAAATAATTCAAAATCAGTTCCTCTTGCAAGATTTAGTAACAAAGAAAAATTACTGGGAAGTAAAATATCATTTTTTACACAAAAAATGTCCAAACGTCAACAGGATACAAAAAACGTCCAAATGACGTTAAAAACGTCAACCTGGCAACGCTGCTTACAACAATCCCTTGAAAAAAAGAAACTTTATTAAGGTAGATTTTGTAAATGGGCGTGATACCGCCCACATATGTATAACTATATAATTTTAACTCATTTTGTTAGCTGAGCATTCTATCGAAGATGTTTGAAACAGGGGTAAAATCGCTCCTGATTACCATGTGGCGGTCGTTTTCGAAAAAGTGAAAAACTATGTTTAATACTTGCGCCGAGTATTTAGTGTTCGGCTCCGCCCGAACTTGGATTTTTCTGCATGTTATTTTTATGTTTATCTTAATATGTATATTTATCTTGTAAATTTTATCTTTTGCTTTAAATTTACTTATACGCCGCTTTTAACATTCTTTATTTTCTTCAACTGTGTATTCACTGCCACATTTGTCATTATATTAAGTGTTTAATTTTACCTTCCTCATTGTCATCTGTCATCGTCTTTGGGTTTCTTTGCTTATAAATATTTAAATTTTTGCATTTATCCTTTTCTTCCAGTCCACACATTCTTACTTCTTGTATTATCCTAGATAATGTAAATCTAAGCTTAAACCGCAGATAAGTATGTTTCTCTATTTCAGTAACAATATTAAAGCATACATTTAGGTGGCATTTCCGCTCCAACCATGTACATTTATGGCACTGGTATTGGTCTCACTTTTGAGTTTATTTCTTCGCCTTATGTTAAACTTATTTGAAATTTCAGTAGTTTTCTGCACATCAGCATCAAAATACCTTGGTATGTAACTCTTTATAAGTATAGCTCAGTCGTGAGTACTTAGTCCACTTGCAAACAGCGTTATGTGATTTTATAATAGTAAGCCCTAAATTAAAACAAATCGACTGCGATAACAAGTAGCTTTTTAATTTAATCTTTTTTTTATTACCCGAAAATTTGAATAAATAAGAGACTAATAATATTAGAGCATAACATAGCATAACATAACATAACATCAACAGTCTATACGACCTAAAGCAGT